CACTGTGAGAAAAGTTGACCGTAAGCCAGCATCTGATGATTGAAGGTACTGAACCTAGGATAAACAGACCTGGAGGAGGGTCCGGTATTTCCAAGGGTGAATCATCGTCCGGGTTCCCGATCATAAAATTGGTATCCAAGCCTAGGCTACTTGTGCGTCCAGAGGGAACGGAATGAGTGGAGTGGACAGAGTGACCAGCAGAGCTATGCCTCCCATCTGACTTATGCGATGAGGAACGCTCAGTCATAGGATGACTGCCAAATCCACTAGTCGGGCGAGCGGGACCAAACTCCCCTGACGCCCTTGATGCTTGTGCCCAATGTGACCCCTGTAGAGCGCTCACGTCGAAGCGTACACTGTTCGCTCTCGAAGTACCTCTACGCACTGGCTCCTCATCGTTATCTAGATGAAGACTCCCAAGTAGATTTTGCTCTTCTTCGTCATCAAAGTCATCGAACACATCCGTAGGAGAGTTGTGAACAGGACCTATAATTCAATGTGTTAGTATTTCAACCAGCCTTGCGAGGATCAAGTCTAACACATACCTTGTTGAGGAGTACCGCTGAAAATGCCAGGAAACGGCGAATTTGTACCCCAAACGGATTTGAGAGCGGCATCGTCCGCTTGGCGCTTCTCCAGTCTCATGAGGCGGTCGGAATGGTTGATTTGTACGGCTTGTACATGCTTCACGTCCATTTGAACATGATATAGTTCTTCTCGTGAAGCCGGGAACTGTGAATCCATTCCAATCCTTTCCTTGTAACCCCCCAGGAAGTTGTGTTTTCAAGTCTCACACTTGATGGCATGGGAGTAATATTGAATGAAATCGACCAAGGAGGGTCACCGCAACAATGCCGTGCAATTATCCCTAGACGCTCGTAATTTATCGTCTGAAAGGAAAGATTGTTCAAATCGGACTGAGGTATATTACGGAATGTTTAGCACCCGGCCAACCTTGAAAACTTGAAGGTAATCCCAGCTCTTGTATCTTGTGCGTAATGCCAACGAAGTACACAACGGCTCTTTGTGAGCCTCCCCCACGGCATCGGCCGACGATTTGATATTTGAGACACCCTCCTGCCTGCTATGATCGATGAATGCCTAATCTCGCAGGTTTTATTTTGGAACAGAATTGGCTCTGAAATGTGGACGAAGGTTCTTTGAATAGTGTTGTGTCCAGCTGTTCTTTGAGAGTCGTGCAAGTATCAAATGAGGAATGCAATGGTGGTCTGCTTCGTTGCAAGTCTGTGCTTCCTGGGGGTATTATTTGATTCGTAAGATGGTGTCGTATAGATTGAGCTGAAGGAGACCGAAGAGCTTTACAGCAATTACGCTTATTGTTTGCCTTTTCGCAGATAATTTGTCGTTTGTTTGTTGTATGTTGTTGTTTTGCCCTTTGAGGAAGATTGGAATCGCAGTGGGGGTACAAGTAAATACTAGATGCGCGGTAAATCGATCCGAGTTGGCCTTTTGAAGATGTTTATAGAAGTAGTAGGTAGTATCACGGCTGATTATTATGAAGTTGGTATATTGTATGTTGTTTATTAAGAAGTCAAATTATCAATCAATAACAAGTTGTTGAGTGAGATTTGGGGTTGGATCAAAGGATGTCATTAATTGCTCTGGCGGTAGTGTAGCTGGTAGGGTCCTTTAATTTGGTTGCGGTAACCCTATTAAAATCACAAGGGTAGCTAACCTTAAGTGGTGTTCATGCATTTTCGGCGTTAAGTGCCCTGACAGTCTATTACATGTTATACAAAGGTGTTGCTTGTGCAATAGGAGCTACGTATATTAGGAACTTCTCACTCAAGGCATTTCAAAAATGGAATTTCGACAATCATCTAGTAGGTAGCTAACAATCATCCCGGGTACTGGTTCTATGCCGATTTCGTAGTTGAAGCTTCTGCAATTCTTTTGATAACTAGGTATGCTAAGCTACTTTCGTTGTTACTGTGATTTTTTGAATACTGGAGTACTTTCCCGTGAAACCAATCATCCAGCAATCAATCAATACTCAATAAATAGGTGAGCTGTCTCTATCAGATCTAAGAAATCTAGAAGTTTTCCTGCATGTATATTTTGTCGTAGAAAAGACCACCTACACACCTTTCTATGCATCATGCATGCATTCCGTTCAATGACTGAATTTAGGAGCTACTGTCCACTATTATCATATTGTTAGTATAATCAACACTATATCTTGAGGGAATGATATATAGCCACCTAGGAAACACATCTAGGAACTGAAGGGAAATACAAACGATATACTTACGTGTGGAAATACCCAGCTGGGGCTATCCAAGGGCTCTTCTTTCCACTCTTTTCCAACCAATGGTATAACTTCGTTCAAGAACACTCTATATCCGTCACTAGAAAGATGAAGACCATCGGTGAGGAGTGCCCTCATAGCTTTATCATCCTCAGCACGTTTGGTGCCAATCGTTTCTAGGTTGCCAGTATTATCTGGACTCATCTGTACTGCTTTAACCAAAATAGCCTTCCATAGATCGACCAATACCACATTTTGATCTTTCCATTCATCGGCGATTTCTCTAACTGCAGCTGCATATTTGGCTGTGTGGTCCTGTGACCGCGTGAGAGAAGAATACCCCTTCTGGAGGTCTTGTTCCTCAAGCTGAACTTCGTTGATAGGCGGTGGTGTAACTAGTAAAATCGTGGGGCGCTGTGCTATGGAACTCCAATTCTTGAGAAGGATCTCAATGTTTTTCTTGTAATTTTCCAATGGAACATGTTGACCCGTGGGACCATCCGGTAGGCATGCATCATTCGCACCGAACAGGACGAGCTTACAACACATTCTATCAGTATACAGAGAAATGACCTAAGGATAGCCTCGCAGCAATAACGGCGAGGATTGAAGGGGGGTATCTGTGAGTCCTACATGGTAGTTTTTGACGTACCAGATAGGGAACCTTTGCAATGGTTGGATCTGGGACGAGGTCCCGATGAATCTCAAGAGCATTCTCGGTATTATACCCGCTCAACCCATGGTTTATTATCTGGAGCCGCCTAGAACAATCTAAAAATGAATTAATGAGTGACCAGAGGGTTCTAGTCTGGAACAGTGAACTCACGTTCTTCAAGACCCGCAGTAAAGGAAAACCCATCCCGCAGATTACTTGAGAATTGAACGATGGAATCGCCCAATAGAATAAATTGGGGGTATCCTCTGAAAGCCATGTCGAATGTGGTACGGTAGAAGTTGACTAATGTTTAAGTGAGGGGTTTTCTTTTTCTATCCCTATTAATTCATAGCCGCCTCGCCTAGGTCTAATTGGTAATAGCGGGAATGCAGTAGTGTAGTGCAGCAGTGCAGCAGTGCAGCAATAGGAAGCCGGGGAAGAAAACGCAAAGCGATATGCAGTTCACGAAACAATCTTGAGAAACGGACTGTCTAGTATTCAGTCAGTTGTAGGAATCGAAGCAAACCCCAATGGACATTAAAAGCCTCACATGCACCCTGACAGATCTGTAGTCTCTCCTCAATTGATGTAATGTGCGACGCACGAAGTGGACAATTCTGGATATTTTGTGGAGTTTCGGTACCAGATAGGTAGAACTTTGCAGCTCTCTGAGTTACTAGTGGGATGGGATGGGACGGGATGGGGGTGGATGATGGATGATGGGCTCATGGATTTTGACGCGATATTCGCGGGAGTTGAATTGCGAGATTGCCTACTTTGTACGCTCAGCTACCATGTTCCCCTGTGGATTTCATCCCCACAGATTAGCTCTTTCATCATTCGTATCTCATGGTGTATAGATTTTCCCAAAAGTCATACTGACGACCCAGTAGGCCCTCTCAGCTAGCTATCGACTATTGGGTGTCTCGGTGTGGACGGAATGGTATGCACACCCAAATCGAACATCCTCTCCTTTTCCGATGTCATGAGCTACACTTCCTTTTTGACGCTGATGCTGATGCTGGTGCCGATGCTGATGTTACTGCCATCTGCTATGTATGATCCATCCTCTCGTAACTATCGGCAGTTCACGAGTCATTTTACTATTGAATGTTTTATAACTCATCATGCTGGTTGGTTGGATTGCCCAAGAGAGGTTATCATCAACTTGCTTTATGGCTTGCGGAATATAAATTGTAGATCATCAGGAATGAATGCTTTCGTATGTTTCACAGCGCTTGTGACTTTCAAGACGGCTTCCAAGAAAAGCTGTATTACCTAAGTACTTACTATTACTATGTAGAGGCTCGAGGTAGGGTAGGCATGAAGCTTATCGAGCCTTATCGAGTGCATTGCAAAAGCTATCTTAAGCGCATTAACCGTATCATTTCCCATTTCCCATAATTATTCCAAACTTCAAACTCCAACTCCCACTTCTGCCTTTTGGTTCCGCAATTCCTGATCAGGATGCGTCTGTGACATTGATCTACTCATCTTTTCATGTTTGCTTGTATTCAATGTTTCCCGTCAGACATTTGGCCCAGGAGTTTCTGTTCTTGCACATCGCACCTACACCGATTTGATCATTGAATACCTAGGTATTACGACATTACCTATTACATCAAAAGCAAACTGCAGCAGGAAAGTCCGACCGCTCAATATTACTATCAATTCCAAACTTCATAACAATAATTCCAGGGTTCAACTAGCCTCGAAGACCCTTGTGTCTCCTCCACATTTCATTTGATGCTTCTTTGATTCCGCATTTGCTCCAATTCCCGATCTCTAAAAGTCAAAGCCACTTCCAACACCAACACTCCAACTTCCTTCTTGAATCCCCAGAAAAATTCTAGTCTTCGTCAAATAGTGGTGTGGGTGATAATATTGAGAGGCGATCTTTTGTACATCTTCAGCTTCTTATTTATCATTTCCTCTTTCCCTTCTTTCGCATTTGCATTTCGCATCTCCCGCTCTTGCATGCGAGCTTCCAAATTCCTGCCGTTGTGTACCGTGTCGTCATTCCAGAACGTCTATCTTCCTGAGATGTGTTAGGTGACACACCGAGACATTTCCGATATGAGACCTTCTAGCAAGAGCCACATTGGCGTCGACTTTACAATGTCGTCGAATGTTCCACCTGAATCGAGGGACTCGTCAGCTCCACCTTCACCTACAGCCATGAGGACTCTTCAAAGATCAACAAGTAATCTTTCCGACGAGCGAACTCCTCTACTCCAAAGTGCGGGGCGTTCTCGTATACGTCTCGGTGGCGCCGCGGAGACCAACCGCCCATATCTACCAAGTCATCATAGTTTCTCTGGCAAGTCTTCAATTTTACCATCATTTATCAACCTTCAGATTTCTCCCATAGTACTGAGCATGGGGCTAACTGTTTACCACTAACAGGTAGTTTAAGAGGTAGTCGGCATCATAGCCGTGCAGGATCTTGGGGCCAGCGTTTAGTCACTGCATTAACTTCAGAAAGACATGGACCCAAGGACCAGATGCGAGAATCCAAAAACATGTCGACCACAGACGACAGAGTTTGGTATGATCAATTTACATCAACAGATTGGGTTCATGACAGTATTGCGGATGCATACCGAGTGAAGGGGCTCCGAAGCAGGAAAGATTTTCGAGGTCGAATCAAGGCGTTTTTTGATGGCACACAAGGTTGGATACTAAGTGCCCTAGTTGGATTCGTGACAGCTACGATAGCATATACCGTTGATGTCTCGGAGACTCCTATTTATGACTGGAAAGATGGTTATTGTCATGATGGATTTTTTATGAGTGAAAAGGTTTGTACAATTTTCGTCATCTCCGTTCATTGTTCGACATGACTTTTGAACTTGCCCACCACAGCTTACAAGTCAAATTCGGCGACATTAACGTGATGCGTTTTCTGCTATTAATCACAGAGGAACACGTAAACTGACTATTGATAGAGATGTTGCCCTGACGGAGACAAATGTGATGCTTGGAAATCTTGGTCCAATTATGTCGAAATACCATTTTTCAGTGAGGAGTTAACGGAGTTCTTTATTTACGTTTTACTTGTAGTCGCATTTGCAACAGCAGCATGTCTTTTGACCTTGACTACCAAAACGGTCGTACCATCAACATATCAACTATCTACGTTGGATGAGAACCTTGGTGCTCTTAGTCGACATGACTCCCAGGCGCCAGTCGATGGTAATACCAGCCCGAAGAACACGCTGGGATCTGAGACGAATGCTCCGATGATCTACTACTCGGCTGCCGGCAGTGGAGTGGCTGAAGTTCGCGTAATTCTTAGCGGTTTCGTTTTGCATGGTTTTCTTGGCTTTAAGACCCTACTCGTCAAAACGCTCGCTCTGATATTGAGTGTAGCATCCGGGCTAAGTTTAGGAAAGGAGGGTCCTTTTGTACACATTGCAACTTGTGTGGGCAATATCGCATGTCGCTTATTCTCCAAATACGATGATAATGACGGAAAACGCAGAGAAGTATTGTCTGCGGCCGCAGCTGCAGGCGTTGCGGTAGCTTTTGGGGCCCCCATTGGCGGTGTTCTTTTTTCTTTGGAAGAAGTGGCGTACTTTTTCCCAGCTAAAACATTATTTCGAACCTTCTTTTGCTGCATCACAGCTGCACTGACGTTAAAATTTCTCAATCCTTATGGCACCAACAAAATTGTCATGTTCGAAGTTCGCTACTTGACGGACTGGAACTTTTTTGAACTCGCCGCTTTCATTATGGTCGGTGTCCTCGGCGGAATAACCGGTGCAACATTCATCAAGGCATCTAGGTCCTGGGCACAGTCTTTCAGGAAGATTGAGATTATAAAAAAGTGGCCTCTTTTTGAGGTCATGCTTGTTGCTCTACTAACCGGCCTCGTCTCCTATTGGAATCCGTATACTAAGATCCCAGTAGCTAAATTGTTGTTCAACTTGGCTAGCCCTTGCGATACTGATAAATCAGATAGCATGGGCCTTTGTCCCAGTAGCATTGATGAGATTTTCCCCATCATTGGACAGCTAACTATTGCATTTTTCATCAAAGGCCTATTGACGATTATTACATTTGGCATCGTAAGTTCAACTGTTACACCTTCACTCCAACTTATTCATAAGCGAGAACATGGTCATCCACTAACACAATGTTACAGAAAGTTCCTGCAGGTATATATGTTCCATCTATGGTTGTAGGCGGCCTACTCGGCAGGATCGTCGGTCATTTGGTGCAATGGCTTGTATTGCAATTTCCCCACGCTTCTATTTTTGAAAGTTGCGCTGCTCATGAGAGTGGAACATCTTGTATCACTCCTGGTGTTTATGCTCTGATTGCTGCCGGTTCTACAATGTGTGGGGTAACCAGATTGTCCGTGACTTTGGCAGTCATTCTCTTTGAATTGACGGGCAGTCTCGATTATGTTTTACCATTTTCCCTCGCAGTTTTGGTCTCAAAATGGACGGCAGATTTCATGGAACCTCTGAGCATATACGTAAGATCATTTAATGATAAGTGTGCGGAGAAAAGACTGACTTTTCCAGGATTTATTGACCAACCTCAACGCTTACCCATTTCTTAATAACAAGCATAAGCCGATATTTACCTCCGATCTTGCAGACATTGTGCCCCGTGTTCGAAGAGAAAGAGTTATTGACATCTCAGTCTCCCCCATGATACCTGCTAGCAGTCTGCGCCAGAAGCTGGAGCTTTTGCATCAGGCCGGTGAGGTTGATGGTGGATTGCCAATCATTAGAGACGATGTTCTTGTCGGTCTAATACCGGCCCCCGATTTAGAATTCGCTCTCGATAATCTTGATAATGAGCCAGGTACCTTATGCCTCATGGCGACCATCAGCAACTATGATGACTCTGAAGAAGAAGAGCATGTTGATCCTACTGACTTCACGCCTTACATTGATCCTGTAAGCAAAATTTAACCTCTGTTCATCCTCAAATCCACTGCTGACAAAGAACCAAAACAGGCACCGGTAGCTTTAGATATTCGTTCGCCAATGGATTTGGTCTACGAATGTTTCGTGAAACTCGGCTTGAGATATGTTTGTGTACTGAAAGATGGCCGTTATGCCGGATTGGTAAGATTTATCCAACCTCCACACACTTATTAGCGTGCAAGAGACCTGACCAATTACAGACCCACAAGAAGACTTTTGTCAAGTACATGCGAGAATTGGAAGAAAGAGATGGGCATAATTGATTTTACTGATGTGTTGCGTTTTAGCGTCGGGAATAGGAATATGCATCAATTGGGTGGCGTCTTGATCTGATTTTGGGGAGTTTGAATATCCAATACCCTGGTGTAATTCATAGAGCATTAGCATCTGGGGTCAATGCCTATTTTACAGGCTGTTTGGGAGGTTGATTCGAAGAAGAGATTATCATAGAGTCTGCCGTACATATTAGACATAATCTTTATCTTCATCATCTTGAATTATCCGCTTTAAGCTCAGCCATGAGTCCGCCTTTATCTCTTTTCTTCGAATCTTCTTGCAACCTCTTCGTGATATATGTAGATATATCCTTGACCTTCTCTAGCGCAATATTCGTACATTGTAACAATTCCACGGCATCGACTGCTATACCACCAAGCTTGGCAATTTGACAAACTTCTCCGTGACGATTCATACTGATCGTGCAACTACCCTCTCTTAACTGTTCCTCCATTAATGTCGTATCAACCAATCTAGTCTGTTCTTGACCCTTTCCATAAAATGAAAATGTCACACAGAGTGGGAAATGTAACAGACTCAAAGGCACAGGTTCTCGCTCTGCTAGAGTGTAGACAGTCACCGTTTCTCCTTCCGTGCTTGTATCTGGTTTTCTAAAGTGTTGTAATGCAGCTATTATAGCAATACAGGACGCATCAATAAGATTCCCGTCGTGTGATAGAATGTGAACATCTGCTCGAACTGACCAGCATTTCTGACCAGCGATGAGACAAAGAGATTCGGTATCGAGGGCTGCAGAACGTCGCAAGGTCTTCTCGAGAAGGCGAGAGAGTAATACTTCTTGTTCGGTCGGACGGTTGGTTTCGAAAGCGGGTGAAGCCATAGGTGAAAGTTCCGTTGTGATGGTGAAGATGCCATCAAAGGGACGGTCCGGGAATGGACTTGTTACTTCAGCTGTAATATTGACGAGAACCCTAGAATTATCAGCATTAATAATGACCCTTGAGAAGATCTCTTTCGAAACAAATATCTAAAAGACGCTTTGAATGTGTATCTCCTGTAATCGCATCTCTTACCTTGTCTTTCCTAACCTCACATCTGCAACACCATATTCATCTCCAAAGTCTAACTCTATAGCTCGAAATTGATCAAAACTTCTTCCATCAATTCTCAAGTTTTCTTTGAGAGCCTTCGAAAAGAACTGCTTTTCATTGATAGAAGGCTCAACTTCTCGAGGCATCTCGAATTACTTATTGACTTGAAAATACACGCTGAATGGTTGCGCGGGTTACATTATTCCCCAAGATTTCTTTTTGCCGGAAACTCTAAGGCGGTGAGCTTTGATTAGACTAGCGTAGCCTTATTTGACATCTTCAAAATGTAGGTAGTCTATCGCGTCTGGCCTTCACCTTATCTTTTATCAAACATTGATTTACATTTTCCACAGCAAAAAAGATGACTACCGGTAAGTCCTCTTGGACAATATTGTTATTTTCACTTGGGAATTACTAATGAATCTTCCAGCACATAGGCCTACCTTCGACCCAGTAAGTGAAATTACATTGCGAATTGTAGAGAATGTTTCTCATGGAAAATAGGCAGTGGGAAAAGAAGCACAACGAGGCCCGGCCTACCATCAAAGATTACTTCCAGCTCACACACAACTGAAATTCCGGTACAAACCCTCGTCACTTTTGTTTAGGAAACTTGAGATTAATTGAGTTATAGAAAGCCAGGACAGGGAGGCGATGCAGCAGCCGAAGTCAGAGACCTCCGAGCAGAATTATTACAAGCAGAAGCAGCGCATTTCGCTAAAAAGAATGGCGGATCAAGCGCTGCAATCGAAGATATACAGTCGTCTACAAACACATCTAAAAGACAACTCGAGAATGGCTCCGTGGAGGACGATGAAGACACAGAAGCAAAGAGGCGGCGCATTCTGGAAGAAACTCGAGATATAGATGCCGACTCGGACAATGCTGGAGAGAGTGATAGTAGTGATGATGACAGGTTCGCCGATTAATTACAACCTTCTTGAAAAAAGGCTCACATGGTGTTAGTGACGACGACGAAGACGAGACTGCGGAGCTTCAACGGGAACTTGAAAAGATTAAGCGCGAGCGTGCCGAGAAACGAGAACAAGAGGTCAGATTAAGCTTTTCAAAACTGCCAAATCTACCACTAATTATGATGCTCTAATAGGAACGAGAAAGACTAGCGGCTGAAGAAGCGGAGCGAGAGCATGATATCGCTCTTGGCAACCCATTGTTAAATGCCAAATCTGACTTCAATGTTAAAAGGCGGTATGTTAGGTGTGGACTAGTTTCACATGCGGTATTTACTAACTCAAGATTATTAGATGGGACGATGATGTCATTTTCAAAAATCAAGCTCGTGGAACCGAAGATAAAGGGAAAAAAGAATTCGTCAATGTAAGTTGTACCAGTCATGCAAGTATTATCACAGAATACTGACCCAAATCTAAGGACTTGCTACGTTCCGATTTCCATAAGAAGTTTATGAGGTATGTTTGGATGTTTGAATCTCAACCCAGCGGCAATGGTAGCAAGCAATCAAACGAGACTAACGTGTTATAGCAAATACGTGAGATGATGGAGTCATTGTGCATCACAATGAAGGGGTACAATCTGGAAATTAATTCTTCCGGACGAGATTCGGATATGTACTATAGAGGGCGAAGGGTTTTGGCGTCATGGTTGCATGGAGTATGGTCGAATGTTCTAGCCAGTACATGAATGAAACTGGATCTTGATCAGCCTCCCCTTTGATTGGTCCTCAGGTCATGACTGGCAAGCCTCTTTCTTCCGTTGGGTCCTTTTGAATAAATTCATGGATGTGATTACATCTCACTAGTTACGGATACAGCCAGCAGGAAAGCTTGTTTTTAAGTGACATGTTGATGATTTGTGGCTGGTTAAGTGGACTTTACCCCGCATTTTTTGTATTCTCATTCCACCCATGTTGTTGTTCCAAACTATTTTATTGGTCAGACCAAGTTCTTCGCTTTTATTACCAGCACCGCCACAGACGTAACCTGTTTTGATCCGGTTCGACAATGATGATGCATTCTCATGGTGTTCTTTCACTCCGACATGGGTAGAGAGATGTAAAGTCAGATCGTGATATTGTCTACTAGAGTGAAAACGGGTTACCGATCTTGTTTCTTGGTACTGTCATTGCTGCATTCGGCTGAAAGCACGTGGCTATTGGAACGATCTATCCTTGTTTTACCATTCCAGTTGACGTCTATCATGTATGCCAACTCTTCCAAGCTCCCAGGGTCTTTCTTTGAGGTAGCCTAGTAGGCATCCGGTACTACCCTTCAACTAGATCATCTTATGACACGTTAGCTCATCGACGAAATGTTATAAGTAACCTTCTAATAATCCTCCGATTTTCTGCGTATCAAACAAACATTCAATCTCACAACTAGCTTCTACATAAAAACTCAGCAACAAAAACAAAGCAATTTGAAAATGTCTACATACAACAACGACGATTCCTACGACACCACTGGCCGCCGCGGTGCCCCTTCTAGCGCCGATGATTCCTTCGCAAATACCACAGGTGGTTTTGGGAACGAGAGCCGCGGCAATACCACCAGCGCCCGAGGCGTTGGAGGCACCGGCACATTTGACGATCAGGATTCTGGAGCATATGGAGGATCTTCTACTCAAGAAAGCCGTGGTTTCAACACCGGAAACTCTGTTAGTTACACTTACAATATCTTTTTCGACTATTGCTGATATGACATAGGGAGGACTGAGAGACAACGAGTTTGGCTCGAGCAACTCCAAGTATGGAGGAGATCTCGGTGATGACGCTAATAACTTCGGAACTGGTAGAAGTGAGCGAACTTCAGGATTAGGTGACAATGCCTCTTCTGGCTTTGGAAACACTTCAACCTCCCGCTCTGGCTACGATGAAAACACTTCATCTGGTCTGAAAGAATCGGGAATTGGTGGAGCTTCCTCCGGTTATGGAGACAACACCTCTTCAGGCCTTGGCAATTCTTCTACTTCTCGTTCTGGATATGGAGGAGACGAGTCAACTGGTCTGGATAGTTCAAGATCAGGCTATGGAGACAATACGTCTTCTGGATTTGGTGATAAGACTTCTACTGGCTACGGAGACAGCGCTTCGAGATCAGGCTATGGAGACAACACCTCCTCTGGATATGGCGATAACCCTACCTCTACTCTCGACTCCTCTCGCACCGGATACGGTGAGAACACATCCAGCGGCATCAGTGGAAACACCGACTCATATGATTCCAACAAGACCCGATCTGGTAATACCTACGGTTCTTCTGACAACACTAGCTCGCGCGATTATGACAACACCTCGAGCTCTAACACTGGAAAGACAGGGGATTCTACCATGGGCAAGATCATGGAGAAAGCTGGACATGCGCTTCATAAGGAGAATTTGGTCCAGAAGGGCGAGGCTAAGCGTGCCGCTGCTGGAAGTGATAATTACTAATTTTTGGTCTGGATTGATTGATCGGGAGGGAATGGATAAATTGATATATTATCTTGTATGATAGTTTGCTTTTTTAATTTTAGCAGATATGAATTAATGACTATTTACTTTTCGCGCGTCTTCATTTCCCAATCGCATACATGAATAGCACTTGCATTTCACTTGACACGGTCTATTATCACTCGACAATGATTCATTTCCTGTATTAAGCTTCTGGGGCTTATTTTTGGAGACTCAATTTAATCCCACAAAGCCCTGCATCTTGACGCAATACGTTACCCAAGAAAATGCATCACCACTGTTATGCATGCATAAGCACATTTATTCACATATGTCATGTAAGATTATGATCTACCGTGCATGAAGAGAATACTTGCATAGATCCTACGTCATCAATTTTGTCGGAGTTCTTTGAGCGTAGAATTTACATGTGATGTGATTTTATAGGATACTTGATTGGAAAGTAGACTTTATGGAATGGGGCAACAAGATATCAGATAGTTGATTTGTTCCTCTCTGAAATGTT